CAGACGTTAACCGAACAGCAGTACCCTTTTAGGGTACTGCTTTTCGGTCTCCTCAGTCATTCGAAGCGTGGAAGCCTCCAAAGTTTCGACTTCAAAAATTCCGGACAAAATGGTGAAGGAGTTAGTAAACGTTAAAGGATTATCTCCCGAAAATAGAAGAAAATTGAGAAACCTGATAATCAAGTATCAAGATGTGTTTGATACCGGAGATGCACGACCAATCAAACAAAATCCGAGAAGACTTCCGCTCGCCAAACGTGAAGAAGCTGATAAAATCCTTCGAGAAATGAAAGAAGAGGGTGTCATCGAACCATCTAACAACCCGTGGACATCGCCGGTAGTACTAGTAAAGAAGAAAGACGGTACCACCAGGTTCTGTGTTGATTATCGGCAGCTCAATAATGTTACCAAGAAGGATAGTTATCCCCTGCCGAGGATAGACGATACTCTAGACACGCTGGCGGGGTCAACGATATTCTCTACGTTAGATCTGAAGAGTGGATATTGGCAAGTCGACATGGCGCCGAAAGACAGAGAGAAGACAGCGTTCTCGGTGGGCTCCGGACTGTGGCAATTTACCGTCATGCCTTTTGGATTGTGCAACGCGCCAGCTACCTTCGAAAGACTAATGGAGTCTGTGTTAAAGGGACTATCCTGGACTACCTGTTTAGTGTACCTGGATGACATCATAGTGGTTGGGAAATCCTTTGACGATCATCTGAAGAATTTGGAAGAAGTTTTCAAGCGACTAGGGGCTCTCTGGTTTGAAACTTAGCCCCAAAAAATGTCATCTGTGTCAAGAAAAGGTACACTACTTGGGACATGTAGTCTCCTCCGAAGGAGTTGCGGTAGATCCACAGAAGACCAAGACAGTGGAAGAGTGGCCAATACCTAAAGATAAACATGAACTACGAAGCTTTTTGGGACTATGCACATACTATCGCCGCTATGTACAGGGTTTCGCCACCATCGCAAAACCATTGACCAGACTTACCGAAGGCGAGATGCGTTTCTCTTGGGACTCAGATTCTGACGAGGCATTCCGAAAATTGAAGAAGGCCCTGACTAGTGCGCCCATACTTAGCTACCCTCTTGGCAACGGAAACTTTATATTGGATACCGACGCTAGCAATGTTGGTTAGGCGCTGTTCTGTCTCAGATCCAGGATGGTCAAGAAAAAGTCATTGGTTATTTTAGTAAGACCTTGTCAAAACCGGAAAGGAACTACTGTGTAACCAGACGAGAATTACTAGCAGTAGTTAAAGCAGTGGAACACTTCTACAAGTATCTCTATGGAAGAAAGTTCTTGTTAAGAACAGACCATGCTGCTTTGAAATGGCTGTTGCAATTTAAGAATCCTGAAGGGCAGGTAGCTAGATGGATTGAACGATTACAAGAATTTGACTTCGACACAGAACATCGAGCTGGGGCAATCCATCGGAATGCCGACGCACTTTCCAGAAGACCTTGCGCTAAGGACTGTAAGCATTGTTCCCGAGCTGAAGAGAAAGAAGTGAAACTCCTAAGAACAACTGTGGTTAATGATAGTTGGCAACCCGAAGATCTTGCAAATGACCAAACCAGTGACCCAGAATTAGGTTTAGTAATTAACTGGAAAAACACAGGCCAAAGACCAACGTGGGAAGAAGTTTGCAGATATTCGCCGAACGTAAAGTCGTACTGGGCCCAGTGGAATTCCTTGGTAATAGATAACGGACTACTTCGCCGTGTGATCGAGAGACCGGAGGGACAAGAAGAGAGAAGACAGATCGTCATTCCAAAGAAGAGGGTCCCAGAAGTCTTGGAGGAAGTTCACAATGGAACCAGCGGAGACATCTTGGTGTTACCAAGACACTTGGCAAGCTGCGTGAACGGTTCTACTGGGTGAACTGCAAAGAAGATGTGAGGGCCTGGTGTAAGAAATGTGACATTTGCGCAGCCATTAATGGGCCACAAAAGCGTGGTAAAGCCCCTATGCGCCAGTACAATGTTGGTAGTCCCTTCGAACGAATAGCGATCGACGTGGCTGGTCCTTTCCCGGAGACGAACGATGGCAACAAATACATTGTGGTAGTAATGGATTACTTCAGCAAATGGGTCGAGGCCTACGCGTTGCCAAATCAAGAAGCGTCCACGATTGCTGATGCCCTTGTTAAAGAATGGATCTGCAGGTTTGGTGTTCCCATGGAGCTTCATTCAGATCAGGGAAGAAACTTTGAGTCCAATCTGTTCCAAGGCGTCTGTGAAGTCCTGAACATCCGCAAGACCAGGACGACTGCTCTACATCCACAATCCGATGGGATGGTTGAACGCATGAACAGAACTATCAACCGTTATCTGGCCAAAGTAGTCTCTGACCACCAAAGAGACTGGGACAAATTTCTTCACCTGTTCCTGTTGGCCTACCGTTCATCCGTCCAAGAATCTACAGGGCAAACTCCAGCCAGCATCGTTATGGGACGGGAAGTGCGCCTACCCTGTGATCTGAAATTTGGTTGCCGACCGGGAGAAGAAGTCGCCGGAGAAGATTATGTCCACACACTACGTCAAAGGATGGACGACATTCATCAGAGAGTCCGCCTAAATATTCAAAGTGCTAGTGACCGAATGAAGGAACACTACGACATTCAAGCTGAGCATGGAGGATACCAACCAGGGAAGTTGGTGTGGCTATATAACCCGCAGAGACGTCGTGGGTTATCTCCGAAGCTACAATCCTCGTGGGAAGGGCCATACGAAGTCATGGATAGAATTAATGACGTCGTATACCGTATCAGAAAATTGCCAAAAGGAAAACCGAGGGTAGTCCATTTCAACCGTTTGAGCCCCTACCAAGGCGAAATAGAAGATCGTGCTGGGACCGTGAGAACCTGCAGCTTTGATCCCCCTGATTCGGAGATGTCCTTTGACGATTTCATGGCCCGATACAACAGCAGTGAGAAGGCTCGCTATGGTGTAACCAAAGAAGATCAACGAGACCTCTTTTCCGTGCCTCCTGATTATTCGCTCGCTCATTGTGTGGCTCGAGATTTGCGGATGTCCAGAGGAATCGCTGCGACGTTCAATGAGAAGTTTGGGCGTGTCGGAGAACTACGCCGACAGGATCCAGAGGTTGGAAGCGTCTTGAGGCTAACCGACAATGCACATGGTCAAGCAAGGCACATCTTCTACCTGGTCACCAAGGAATGGTCCCCGAGTAAGCCGACTTATCTCAATCTATGGAAGACCCTGATTGAACTGAGAGAAGCCCTGCTAAACAACAACATTGCACGATTAGCCATTCCGAAGCTGGCGTGTGGACTCGATGGTTTGAGTTGGCGTACAATCCGGAACATGATTGAAGTCTTGTTCAGATTTACGGGAATCGAGATCCTCGTTTGCTGCTACAACCCAAAGCTGAGATCGGGAGAGAAAACTGTAGATTGCTATTTCTACCAGACTTCGCAATGTTCCAGGGGTCAGCTTTGCAAATACCTTCATTCACCGTATACATCTCGGGACGGGCATGTGCCTAAGAAGGGGGCAGTGTTGCGGACCCGTGTGGACTCGACCTAACCTAACTATATGTCCCGCCCTCAGATGACCTTAACATCGCATTAAAGAATAGACACCGTAATGATTCATTCGTTCGAGAAGAATCGAGTCCCACTGGAATGGATTAGTACATACGAGAACATTCGAAAACCTTCTCTACGCACCTAACGATCTATGGATTCTAGAGTTCTTTACCTGTCGGTATAAAAGCCGGCGGCTGTGGCCTACAGGGGGCAGTTATAAATATACCAGTGCAGTTGACGCGCTAAAATTCAAAATAAATTCTTAGTTATAAATCGTTTGTAAATAGTTCTATAAGTCTTTTATCGTTATTGTTTTTGTTAATTAGTGTTAAATAAATAGTGTTTAAATAAATTGTGACTTTCTATCCACACGGAACCGACGAAAAACGTAACAATAGTTTTATAACATTTACAATTATTTTTCGATTTATTATCTGCTACATCTGTTATAGAAAATGTTTATAGTTTTCTAGGACACATTTTTATAACTTTTACAGTTATTTTTTGTTTATATATATATATATATATATATATATATATATATATATATATATATATATATATATATATATATATATATATATATATATATATATATATATATATATATATATATATATATATATATATCTATTCACTGTTAAATGTTATTCACTGTTATATATATTCATTATTCACTGTTATATATATATATATATATATATATATATATATATATATATATATATATATATATATATATATATACATATATATTCAAACAGGTGTCTTGGGGATGCAGTCTAATAAGAAGGCCGTTAGTTCAAGGAAAAACCCTTTATTGTTTAGTTAGTTTAGTTTCCTTGAACTAACGGCCTTCTTATTAGACTGCATCCCCAAGACACCTGTTTGAATATTTTTCTCAACTAGTCAGTCGCGTAGACTACCCATCTCTTTATACATATATATATATATATATATATATATATATATATATATATATATATATATATATATATATATATATATATATATATATATATATATATATATATATATATATATATATATATATATATATATATATATATATATATATATATATATATATATATATATATATATATATACATATATCTCTATTCACTGTTAATTTCACGTCAATCGGTGCAGGTGTTCAGAATTCGGACCCTAAGCCCTCGCTTACTGGCCTATCACTACTAGGTATATTCTATGATATAAAAGGGCAGTTCTGGGTAAAAAATGGATTTGTTTTGATTTTTTTTTGGTAATACTCGTGATCTACGATCATGTACAAATTTTTATGAAAAAAGGAGGATTTCCAGTTTTTCCAATGATTACCGTTGTTTTTCCATCTGTACCAATAACTAATCCTCTAACAGTTTTGTCAACTATTTCAATCATTGATCTGTCCGTATTTATATTCATATAAATGCCTTTTAGCTATTGCAAAGAAGTATTTCCTGATCCTATAGATGTTCTTCGTCACAAAAGGGAATTACATCAATTCCCTAAAACGTTTTTATCAAAAGAGGAATTAGCTCCTTATATGGAGTACGAAAATATATCTGAATGCCCTATATGTTTTAAAACTATGCAAAGAATTGAGTGTAAGTCTATCTATTTGAAACATTTATTAACCCATTCCAAAGATTACAACAATGAATGCAAAATTTGTGGGAAAACATTTAGAAGGATGGATCATTGCCAAACACATGAAAAGAAGCATATTGTAAAATTAGACTGACTATTATTTCTATTTTGTAAAATGACTTATTTAAACAGCCTATTAAATGTATGTGGTTTGATTATAATCTAATAATAAAATTAGCCCAAAAATTGTTAAAATTCAATATTTGATTTTTTTTTTGTTATAGAAACTAACATACCTAACAATATTTTAATTGTAGTATTGTAAAAATATTTTTGTATTAAATGACAATGTATTGTTGTAATCATAATTAGTCATTGTGTGCCAAACATACTATTACCACAGATTATAAACTTATCGTCAAAAGCATTGTTTTTCGTGGTTCCAATTTTCGGAGTCGCGCACTAGTTTGGTTACTAGTTTGCGCACATAGCACGCCCACTTATGGCCTCTAAAATTGTGCACAGCGCCTGACCGGCCCAGCTAGTATGCTGTTTAAACGCGAGTTTATTTTTGCGCACAGGAAATTTTACTCGTTTGCTCATCGTCATAAAAACACAATTTTTGTACCACGAATTAGGGACAAGATTTATATCTGTATATATAGTATACCTAATCTGTGCTATTAGCACAGAGATTGAGCCTTTCCTTATTTCTCAAGAGTTGTTTTGGTTTGATTTCCTTGACTGACAGAGGAGCATAACTAATCTAGAGAAATCTGTAGAATTTGGGCAGACAACATTCAAGAAATTATAGAAAAAACCAGGGTTGGAAAAAATCATGAATTTTTTAAAAAAATCAAAAAAATCAGATTTATTTGATTTAAATCAGATTTTTTTTTATTTAAATCAGATCAGTCAAACAATATTTAAATCGGATTTCCAAATGACTAGGACTTGTTTCCAATTAAAGTCCTATCCTAAATGGCTAAATCTTTATAACTCTCCCTGATACCGATAACATTACAATTCTACGGCGCGTGTCATTTTTCCACATCGGTCACCAATATATTCCGCAAAACAAGTCGCTCGCTTCAGATCAAAAGGATTTTTTTCAAACATCTCAAAGATATTAACTTTTTGTCATTTTAACGCCTAGGCATAAAAGTAAAGCACTGTTACGCCCAAAGACATTATAAAAAAATCTTACTAAATCTATGGTTATGCCTAAGCACAAAAGTACAAAAGTATATTATTAAACTGATATTAAGTGACAAATTCAACGAGTGTACAAATAGTTGCTCGATTACTGTTCATATGATTTGCAATGTTTGAAATTGATTAAAAAATTATTTGTAATGTTTTAAAAGAAATAGTATCTTCTCTTCGGAGTAAAATTGTACTTTTTGTGCTCCCTTTAACGTCGGAATAGCTTTATGATGGTCCTTCAAAGGTACAGCATCGTCAAAAAAAGTATAATTTTTACTCCTAATAAAACAATACACTGTTGTTAGGAAATAGTCTTAAGCAAAATTCGGAAGTAGTTAATTAAGACGTAATTTACCTGATTAACTACGTGTAGTTTTTCTTCAAAAACTACGTCTTTTCCCGTTCATTAACTACATGAAAACTACGTTAATAAACTATGTATTGATATTATGAATAATTTGCCTTTGTATGAGGTGTAATAGAGATAATATTATGTAAATATTATATTTAAAGCCATATTTCTTCTGTTTTTTGTTAAATACATTATGTGTTTTTAAAGCTTCAACTTATTATAACCTCACCTCAAAGCTTTGATATTTGAAAGTTACATTGTAGCATTTTTTATTTCCTTTAATAAAATTGAATTTAAAAATCTATTTTTATTTAAATTTCTTAGTATTGGCGCCATCTATTTGCTAGATGCCAAAGATACCAAACTTCATTTCTTACAGTTTACTTGTCTTGTTTATTAGCGCCATCTATTCGCTATATGCCAAACTTCCTTAATTGCATTTCACTTGTCCCGATATTTAATTTTTATTAGCGCATCTATTCGCTAGATGTCAAACTTCATTTATGACAGTTGGGTTCTGAAACAGAACTGAGAAGAAGGTCTTTTTTCTTTTTTTCTGGGAATTTGGATCTGAAGGAGACGCGTGTTTCGGCGTCCGACAAATTTTCCAGTGAAAAGCACTCTGCATCCACTTTTCGATTTCATTTGCATGGGTATCCGATTTGGAGATTTGAAAACCTTGTAAAGTATGCAATCCAGAGTATAGATCGTATTTGTTTGCTTTCTTCTTGGAATGATCACCGTAAGTTTATCCACCATTTTATATAGCCCTATCTAACTAAATTCTATTTCAGTTATTTCCGTTTTTTATTTCGTTTATTTGAGTATTTAATTACTGGTTTGGATCGGCATATGGTTTGAATATATTTATGTAAAGCTGACTTTCAGACCGTAAGTTGTTTTTTTTATTGAGTATCTGTCCTGAGAACTATTTTTTATTTATAGAGTAACTACCACATAGTACTCAGTAACTACCACATGGTACACAGTAACTACCACATGGTACTCAGTAATTACCACATGGTATGCAGTAATAACGCAGTAATTATTGTATGTTTCACCCACTTTTATTTTGTATGGACCTATGCAGACCTTAAGACAGTGTTCCTGACATTACAATCGTTTCTTTTGGCTGATATCGAAGACTTCTCCTGCCATAGTCATCTGCATCCACTTCTGTTAGTCTGGAGAATACCTAACTACCTGTTTACATCATAAGAAACTATGTACAGATAAGTCTTAAGTTTGATACACAAGGTACGCTTTTATTTTATAATTTTTGAGGCAACAGATTTAATAACCTGGTAAATTATCACTATTTATCCCACATATTGTAGTCAAAATTATTTTTAATTTAACGTTATAAGTTATAATTTGATTCGTACAGTACACTCATACTTAGCTATGATATTTTATATGAAAATTATTAACACGTATTCATTTTAAAGGTTTTTGTACACTACATGTTTCGAAACATCATCGTATTGAGACATACATAAATTTCACCTGTTTTTATTAAGTAGCTTACTTAGTTCAAAGAATACAGTTACTAAATTCAAATCTATTTAAAAATTGGCATCACTGTGACTAATTGATGATACTTGTGTTCGTTTTCAATAAATGTTTAATGTAGGATAGTTATTTCTGACTTTTATTCCTGATAAACATTATAGACCCTTAATGTTGTTGATTACTTTATTTTAGCTATGTTATGATATCGTATTTTTCTTTTTGGTTTCTTACTTTACCACTCTCATAAACAAAGTAAGTGGCGCCCTTTCACTCTCTTTGACCATACCTATTTGAATTCTTAACATCGATATTAAAATCTCTGCAGCCTATATATTATCATTTTTTTATTTTAATATTTAACAACATTAGAAAGTCACTATGAGTCAGAAGCCTTACCTACGAACCCAGCTTTCCTCTAACCCTGAGCAACGGATTCTTTTTTCATTCTATTTGGATAACGACAGAAAAGTCGTCACACATAGAAGAATAAAGTATATGACGCCCTGTAACGTGGGGCTCAGCTTAATTTGATTGGCTCATGTTCTATTTAATTGGATCAACTTAGTTTATTTTGTTTGACTTTTATTGGTAAACTTAATTTAGTAAAATAATTTCTATTGGGCTCAGATAAATTTTCTTTAAGGCAAAGACTATAGTTTTGAAATTTTGTTTTCATTATTTCTGTAATTTAATTTCTATAATTTCAGTACAACAGCAATTTTTGTTTTTTATGTTATAGAGGGTGTTTGTTTATCGGTTTAAAACTCAGAGATAAATAACTTGATACTTCTGACTACATAGTTTATTGAAATTTTGATCTTGATATAAATATACAGGTAAGGTTATATTTTGAATATACAGAGTGGACATAATTTTAGTATACAGGGTAGCGTTGTTAGTACTTCGTAAAATTTTGGAATTTGTTTTGAATATTTGAGTCTTTTTAGGTTTTGACATTGAACATAATTTCTTTCTGATAGATTGCGTCGAGTCATAACAGCTTTTTGTTAAAATTAGTAAATTTTTCTGAATTATTTAGTCTTTAATATCTTAATAATAACAACTGAATTACAATGGAGAAAGAATCTTTTAAAGTTAATCATTTACGACAAGTAGAATTAGATTATGAACTTCTTATTAGGGGTATTAAGACATCTAAAAATGTTGAGAGTAAACGTAAAATTTTGTCAGGTCTTTTAAGTAGAGAAATTAATAACCCTTTTTGTTTAGTTAATATGGAAAATTATCCTCTTTCTTTTGATCAAGAAATTTTCGAAATTAAAGCAACTTTAGATTCAATTTCTTTGTCAATTTCTGAATTCGAGGGTGGAGTAAATGATTCAATGTTTAAAGTTATAAAATCTCGTTTTGTACATTTGGCTGGTAGAATTAGAAGAATAATTTTAGATGAAAATCGTGCTGATGCAGAGACTATTCAAACTGATGTTTATACTAGTTGTTATCAACTTGAAGCTGACTTATTTTCAAAAATTTCTGACACAAATGAAATTTTAATGTTAGTTCTGTCCCTTCTGGACCGGTTATTAATGTACCGCCTCCTATTGTGACTTATGTTGCTAAACCTTGTCCAGTGTCAGACTGGCCTATTAAATTTAATGGTGATCCTCAAGATTTATTTTCATTTTTAGAAACTGTTACTGAGCTTTCTGAATCACGTAAAGTTAGTGAACAAGATTTATTTTCTCCGCAGTAGAACTTTTTACCGGGAATGCTTTTATTTGGTACAGAAGTATTAAACAACATGTTACAGATTGGAAATCTCTTGTAGAAAGATTAAAGAAAGACTTTTTGCCACCAGATAATGATGACAATATTTGGTCGCAAATTAAATCTTATAAACAACGAAAAAATGAAAGTATTTTAATTTTTATAGCAACTTTAGAGAATCTTTTTAGTAGATTAAGTAAATGCCCTAGTGAGGTTAATAAGATTAAAATTATTAGACAAAATTTACTTCCTGAATACATTACTCAGTTAGCTTTAGTTGATGTTTTATCTGTGTCTGAACTCTCTAATTTGTGTAGAAAATTAGAAAATGCTAAACATCAGAATGAAAAACGATCTAGAAGTTTAAATGTTTCTCAATTGAATACCACTCCTGATTCTAGCTCGTCTGATTCTCATCGAGTACAGTTTTGTAAAAAGTCTAAGAATGTCAATGCTC